TTTGCGGTTTCTCTTTGTAGCCAGCACCGCGGAGCAAAGGGCATCTCTCGGGTCAACTAGTACATGCGCTGCAAGATTCCGAGCAAAAGCGAGGCCTGCCCTAAAACGCGGACTGATGAGCAGGGCCTCCTGGTTGCCAATGCTGAGATCCGCCCGGAGCAGGCTCAGTGTGGGTGCCCTGGGCCTGGCCGTGGGGAACTTTCCTGGGGCTCCGAGCGCTGTACCCGCAAAACAGGGATCATCTATGCTGTCTACAACGCCTCCAGTAAAGAGCTGGTCCACACGGTGCTTACAGACAGACCAGCACGCGAACCCACAGTGGAGACCCCCACTCTGCATGGCTCCTGGGCCGCAGGCAGGGGGCCGAGCTGACTCCTGAGGAGGAAGAGATTTTAAGGAAAGCTGATCAGAGAAAATCCAGAGGAAATATGATGAAAGGAAAAAGAGGGGCCGGTGCTGTGGCATAGTGGGTAAGGCCGCCGCCTGCGGTGCCTGCATTCCATGTGCGCACCACTTCAAAACCCAGCTGTTCTGCTCCTATTCAGCTCTCTGCTGTGGCCTGGGAAAGCAGCAGAAGATGGCCAAGTGCTTGGGCCCCTGCACCCACATGGGAGACCTGGAAGAAGCTCTTGGCTCCTGGCTTCGGATGGGCGCAGCTCCGGCCGGTGTGGCCATCTAAGGAGTGAATCAGTGGATGGAGGACCTCTCTCTCTCTCTCTCTCTCTCTCTCTCTCTCTCTTTGTGTGTGTGTGTGTGTGTGTGTGTGTAACTGACTTTCAAGTAAAATAAATAAATTAAAAAAAAAAAAAAAAGAAAGGAGAAAGAATGCCTCTGGAGGGGCAGTTCCAACAGGGCATTGCATCAAGACCTGGGCAGGGTGGCCGAGCAGATGGTTGGGTACTAGAAGGCAAGGAGCTAGAGTTCTATCTGTGGAAAATCAAGGCCTGGAAAGGCAAATAAGCTCTTCATCATGGAAAAAAGGTGTTCATTGTTCTATGTTTAAAAAGGGGTGGGGCTGGCGCTTTGGCGTAGGGAGTAAAACCAGTGCCTACAGAGCCAGCATCCCATATGGAGCTCCTGGCTCCTGGCTGCGGAAAGGCGCAGTGCCGGCCGTTGTGGCCAGCTGCAGAGTGAACCAGCAGATGGAAGCCCCCGCCTTCCCTCCTCCCCCAGCCCCATGTGTTACTCTGACTTCCAAATAAATAAATACATCTTAGAAAAAAAAGGGATAATATATCATGATTAAATGGTTTTTCCCAGGAATGCAAGGTTGGTTTAACATTCAAAAATCAATGTGATTCACCATATCAATAATGTGAAAACAAAAAGACAAATAATCGTCTCTACAGATGCAGACAAAGCATTTGACAAAATACAATATTCCTCCCTGACTGAAAAAAACAAACTTTAAGGAAACTAAGAACAGAAGGTAACATCTTCAACCTGATAAAAGGCACTTATGGGCCAGCACCGCAGCTCACTAGGCTAATCCTCCACCTGCGGCGCTGGCACCCTGGGTTCTAGTTCTGGTTGGGGCGCCGGATTCTGTCCCGGTTGCTCCTCTTCCAGTCCAGCTCTCTGCTGTGGTCCACGAGGGCAGTGGAGGATGGCCCAGGTGCTTGGGCCCTGCACCTGCATGGGAGACCAGGAGGAAGCACCTGGCACCTCTAACAGAAAACTACTAGAACTTACAAATGAATTTATTAAAGTTATAGAATATAAGGACAATATATAAAATATAACTGTATTTGTATATATGTACAAAAGGAAATTAAAAACTTAAAATATCACCCATAATATGCAATAACTTGGGGATAAATCTGACAAGGGGGGGGGTGTGAGACTCTTACACTGTAAATTACAAAATAATAGTGAAAGAAATTAAAGACACAATGAAGAGATATACCATTCATGTAGACAGAAGACCCAACGTGGAGTTTTCTTTAGAAACAGAAATTGAGAAACTGATTCTATATTGTGAATGATGTTCATGAAAGATGTAAAAAACATGAATGTTAAGTGCTCTCAAAATAAAAATGATAACTTCCTGAGGTAATGCACTTGTGAATTAGCTAGATTTAGCCATTTTCAAAAGGCATAAATACTTCAAAACATCATACAATTAAATTTTTTTTAAATCATGAAAATGCAAAGGACTTAACCAAAAAACTTTGAGAAGAGGACAAAGACAGAGGGCTAACCCAACTTCATTTCAAACTTTATTCAGAAGGTACCGTTTTCAAGACAGGGTTATACTGATGTACAGATAGACAAACTGATCAATGCAACAGAACAGGGAGCCCAGAAAATCCATACATTTATGAACAACAGAGTTTTGATAAAGGTGCAAAGGCAATTCCACAGATAAAGGAATGTCTTCAACAAATAATGCCAGGAAAATTACACACAAAAATGCAAAAAAAATTTTTTCCTCAGGGACAGTATACACAAAATTAAATCCAAATGGACTATATAACTAAATGTAAAGTCTACAACTATAAAAGTTGCAGAAGAAAACACAAGAAGAACGTAATTAAAAATCTCATAGACAGAAAAACAAAAGCACAATCCATACAGGGAAAAATTGATATACTTCATCAAAATTTAAAACTACATAATTTTTGAAAGATACTTAAGCGAATGAAAAAACAATCAACATATTGGAAGAAAACCTCTCCAAAACATATGCCTCCTAGTAGATTTGTTTCTAGAAATAAAGAAATCCTTGAAATTCAATAATAAGAACAAACCACCCAATCTTTTAAATGGGCAAAAAGTTTGAATAGGCACTTCACCAAGAAAGCCATATGGATGGCAAAAGATGCTTAATGTCACCACTTATTAAGGGGAAGCATACCGAAACCACAATGAGATACAACTGCACACTCCCTAGCATGGCTGGCAAAAATAACCGAACCATGCCAGGTGTTGGTGAAGATGAGAGCTACTGGATCTCTCATGACTGCAGGCAGGGACATAAAATGGCAAAGACACCTTGCAAAAATGAGTTGGCAGCTTCTTTAAAATTTAAACATATACCTAAAATAGGATGTAGTCATCCCACTCCTAGGTAGTCACCCAAGAAAAATAAAAGTGCATGTCCACATAAGGCCCTGTGGACAATGTACACAGCAGCTTCACGTCTGATAGCCCAAACTGGAGGCCACCCAAATGTCCATCAACAAATGAACAGATAAACAAGCTGTGGAACATGTGCAATGGGACTCCGCAGGCTGCCACATGGATGGATTTCAACATAAGGATGCTGAGTGACAGGCAAAAAGGAGTGGATACTTTTAAAATTCTGGAAAATGAAAATGAAGTGACAAGACATCACTGGATGCCTGGGGACAGGGTAAGGGTGAGAAGGAGAGATTAAAAAGGAGAATGAGATAATCTAGTGTATTTCATACAAACACACAGAAGAAAGAAGCTCCAAGCCTCCAATCACAAATCAAAATCTTAAAGAAACAAAACACAAAGGGCCTGAGGAAGCTTTTGGAAGCGACGGATATGTTTACACATATTATCTACATCATGGTGATGGTATCACAGATACATGGGTTGACAAGTTAAAACATTCTACTCTTTAAATGTTCAGATTATTGTTTGGAAATTATTCATGAGGGTTGTTTTGGAAAGACAAATCAGGGGAAATCATTGTAAAGTTTGTATCAGTTAAAAGTTACTCTTCCGGCCGGCGCCGCGGCTCACTAGGCTAATCCTCCGCCTAGCGGCGCCGGCACACCGGGTTCTAGTCCCGGTCGGGGCGCCGGATTCTGTCCCGGTTGCCCCTCTTCCAGGCCAGCCCTCTGCTGTGGCCCGGGAGTGCAGTGGAGGATGGCCCAGGTGCTTGGGCCCTGCACCCCATGGGAGACCAGGAAAAGCACCTGGCTCCTGGCTCCTGCCATCGGATCGGTGCGGTGCGCCGGCCGCAGCGCGCCGGCCGCGGCGGCCATTGGAGGGTGAACCAACGGCAAAAGGAAGACCTTTCTCTCTGTCTCTCTCTCTCACTGTCCACTCTGCCTGTCAAAAAATTAAAAAAAAAAAAAAAAAGATTAAAAAAAAAAAAAGTTACTCTTCCTATCAGAAAGGCAAACACATTCATATAAGTATACTTGTTTACCCACAAATTGAAAAAAGAAAGAACAGATAATTTAAGAAATAGGGACTGTTAATGATATGAAGTACATATAACTTCCCCAGTAATCAAAGAAGCAAAAATTAAAATAATGTATCACTTCATTTTACCCACCAGTTGGCAAAATAACACACAAAGGATACATGTGGGGAGGGAGCGACAGCATAGGGAGCAGTCATTTCTATGCATTCCTGGAAGAGTTCCATGGGTATGGTATTTGGCCCAGTAACATTTTCTGGGAGATCATGCAAGGCAGTTTCCTTTTCATGTTTGTTTTGTTTTAGCAGAAGAGGTGGGGCCTCAGTAGTAGGTGGGGCACAGAGGCGGGGTGGAGGCTTCTGTAACTGACAAGTCTGGATTTCTCTGCAGCTTGGGTTTTGGCTATAGCAGTGGCTGGGATTTCAGGTGATTTTTTATTTCCTTTTTTTTTTTTTTGTTTATCTATATTTTCTAAAACTTTTTGAAAGACCTATGACTTATGTAATTAGAGGAAAAGTGATATGAAACTTTTATGTAGTTCAAAATACAATTAAAAAGTACTGTAACAAAAAATGGCAATATGCATATTTCCAGAAAATAATTTGATAATAGGAATCAAGAAACTTAAATAGGCTCAATTCTTTTAACCTAGTAATTCTCCCTAGTATAAGCTGTAATGAAGAACAGGGAAAACAGACAAGGAAATAATTTAAAACTCAAAAATCTTCTATGAAAAATTTTATTCTAACTTTATTATAAACATCTTAACACTCTCTTTTAGTTTTCTTATAAAATAAGAAAAATACATGATCTAAAACCAGAAAACACAACTTATTCCCATATTTAAGAGACAGCTACGTCACAGAACTCTGGACAATACCTTTTTGTGTGTGGCAGAAAATGCACTGGATTGCTCAGATTCATTTTAGCAGTAATCTTTTTTTCTCCTTTATAATTTCAGTCTCTTGTATTTATGGTGTGCCTGTAGAAAAAGCAGATTAAAATACACACTTTTAGGAGCAAAATTAAAGAAGTGAGAATTGCTGGTGTGGGCAGCATGGTCCCGAAGGTTAAGCCAATGCATGGGATGCCTGCCTCTCCTATCAGAGCGCCTGGGACAGATGCCAATCCAGTTTCCTTCTAACACACCCAGGAAGAAGCAGATGATGGCGCAGTATCTGGGTCCCTGCCACCCATCTGGGAGACCTGGATGGAGTTGCTGTCTCTTGGCTTTGGCCTGGGTAAGCCCTGGTTGCTGTAGGTATTTAGGGAGTGAACCAGTAGACGGAAGATCTCTCTCTCTCTCTCTCTTTCTCTTTCTTACTCTCTCTCTTCCTCCCTCTGTCATTCTGCCTTTCAAATAAATAAATGTATAAATAAGCCTTTTTTTTAAAAAAAGAATTTCTAATATGGTATCTCTAACTATTTTTAAATGTAATATTACAAAGTTAAAATGTTATCTCGATCTGTATGTGGATGATAAATTTAAAAAGTAAGATCTTCACAACAGAGACACAGATACCTTTTCACAAGGAATACCAGGAAAACCAATGTGTCATTAGACTTCAGAATCTCTGGGGTGCAGTGGGTAAAGCTGCTGCCTACAGTGCCATCATCCCATGCAGGCGCCAGTTTGAGCCCTGGCTGCTCCTTTTCCAACCCAGCTCCCTGCTAATGTGCCCAGGAAAGCAGCGGAGGATGGTCCAAGTCCTTAGGCCCCTGCATCCATGTGGAGACCCAGAAGAAGCTCCTGGCTCCTGACTTTGGATTGGCCCAGCTGCAGCCACTGTGGCCTTCTGAGTAGTGAACCAGTGGATGGAAGATTCTCTCTCTCTCTCCCTGCTACTTCCTTTCTATAACTCTGCTTTTCAAATAAATAAATAAACCTTAAAAAAAAAAATCTATACTGAGGCTTCCACTGGTTTGCTCATGTCCAGGTAATTTAATAGAGGCTACCAGTAGACAGGACTAATTGGCCAGTGTGTGATCATACTACTGATTCTCTGTCAGGAAGGCTTATATTTTGAATTGCTATTCCATTCGGCATGGAGTTTTACATGGATTCACCTGCCATCTAGTTCCTGGGCTCACCTATAACCCATCTCCCATATTTCTGAGGTAATGACTATTTTCAAATTATCTAATAAAGAATTAATACCCAATGTGGAAAACCTGGGAAATACATACTATTACTTTTAAGCAATCCAAAATCCTACCTGGGAAATACTCCATTAATAATCTGACATAGTTTTGTTCATGCATCCATTTATTTCTTCATGCCCATAGTAATTTTGTTGTGTAGCTGTGATCATATTACCCATAAAATTGCATAGTTCACGTCTTCTACCTAACTGTGCAAGATGACCATTACACCATGTCACCAAACACTGCTCACAAAGATCATTTTAGCGACTGCTCAATGTTTATTTTAAGGAAGAGCCGGAAGTCACTGACTCTTACATATTTCTGTATGGTTATGTTTCTGCTAGAATAGTATAGTGCTGTTGAGACTGAAGTCTGTACTCCTGCACTTCATCGATCAAGCCTAAAGAATGTTTTCCGTTTTCTTCCTTTTCATTACCCCCCTTCTTTTCTTCATAAAAGCCTCCTGGATTCCATGAAACTGTCTTCTCCTGTTTTCCCAAACCGTTTCTGCTATAGTCTGTCCCTTCTCTCTGTTCCCTAAATGAATGTGCTCTTCGAGATCTGCCAAGTTCTCTGTGTGATAGCAAGGGGCTAGTCTACATGCCTGGCCATTTAATGGTTTCAAACAATACTACGTCCCAAGACAGGCCTGACCTCTACACCCTTTTCTCGAGTATCTGTTAGGTTCTTTCCTAAAAGGCTCAGATACACCTTGCACTGGCCTTGACCTCTCTCTTTTCCTTGTCCCTTACGTTCGATCTACCCCCAATTTTGCTTCAATATTTTTTTTTTCATCTGTTTTTCACATTCCATTCGTGTGGCATTTTCTCTCTCCTCTGCTTCTACTCTTTTGGCATCTATTCTATGTTTTCTGGAATTCATCTTTTTTCATTTTTAAAAATTTATTTATTTGAAAGGCAGAGTTAGAGAGAGAGAGAAGGGGAGAAGAGGGGAGGAGAGGGGAGGGGAGAGAGAGATATCTTCCGTCTGCTGGTTCACTCCCCAAATGGTAGCAATGGCTTAAGCTGAGCCAGAGTACTAGCCCCACAAATTAAAAATAAAAGATCATTCAAATTCATCCTTCCTCCAAAACATAAACAAGGATATTTTTCCTTCTGACAGGATAGCATTTTTACAATTAACTAAATATGAGATAATTTGCATAAAATTATTGGTTTCCTCATCCTTGACCTCCTGCAACCTCAGGCATTACATTTATAGTGAGAACTTAGAAGTGTGCCAAGAATGTAGTATTTCAGGTCTTGGGCCCTTGGGGTAGCTAAACAATCCAGTCAGCTTAGAGTAGATTTCATCAGAGACATGAAATGGAAATAACTCTCTTCACTCTTTATTCTAAGAAATGGAAACCTTCCAAAGATAATAAATAAGAAAACTATTTTTCATGCATTCTTAATATAAGAAAGAACACATGATAAACACTAGAAATATAAACATTTTTCATAATTGCCCTTTCTCCAAAATCTTTCCAGAAAGATGATTCATGGAAGATCTTAGTTGCCTTTCAATGTTTTAATCACACTTCTTCAACAATAAACTAGGATCCAGCTAACTTGAAAACTCCACAATATTTCTGCACAAAAAGGGAAATAAGAATCAAGACCTTTTTCTTTTTTGGACAGGCAGAGTTAGACAGTGAGAAAGAGACAGAGAGAAAGAGAGAAAGGTCTGCCTTCCGTTGGTTCACCCCCCAAATGGCTGCTATGGCTGGCGCTGTGCCGATCTGAAGCCAGGAGCCAGGTGCTTCCTCCTGGTCTCCCATGCGGGTGCAGGGCCCAAGCACTTGGGCCATCCTCCACTGCACTCCTCGGCCAGTAGGAGCAGAGAGCTGGCCTGGAAGTGGAGCAACTGGGACAGAATCCGGCGCCCCAACCAGGACTAGAACCCAGGGTGCCGGCGTCGCAGGTGGAAGATTACCCAAGTAATCTTGGGTTTGGCACTGGCCAAATCAAGACATTTTGTACTGGAAAGAATTTTAAAGATCAGATATTTAGTATTTAGGGGCCAGCACTGTGGCACAGTAGGCTAAGCCTCCACCTGCTGTGTTGGCATCCCTATGGGCACTGGTTTGAGTATTGGCTGCTGCTCTTCCAATCCAGCTCTCTGCTTATGGCCTGGGAAAGCAGTGGAAGATGGCTCAAGTGCTTGGGCCCCTGCATTCATGTGGGAGATCCAGAAGAAGCTCCTGGCTCCTGGCTTCGGATCAGCTCAGCTCCGGCTATTGTGGCTATCTAGGGAGTGAACCAGAGGATAGAAGACCTTTTTCTTTCTCTCTCTCTCTCTCTCTCTCTCTCTCTCTCATCTGTAACTTTACCTCTCAAATAAATAAATAAATAAATAAAATCTTTTTAAAAATCAGCTATTTCAACTCCTTTTTCATTTAATTTCATTTCTGTTTCAACACTGAATCTCAGAAAAGTTAAGTGTCACATCACACCTATATAGTAGTGTTTTTCCAAATTAAAATCCAGGACTTCTCCAGGCTAGTGTTCAGGTTCAGCAGGTTAAGGTCCAACTCCCTGATAATGTGCCTAAGAAACCAGAGGAAGATATCACCCAGATGGAGTTCCTGGTTCCTGGCTCCTGGCTCTAGCCTGGCCCAGCCCCAGACTTGGGGCCATTCAGGGAGTGAATCAGCAGATGGAAGAGTCAGTCAGTCTCTCTCTCTCTTCCCCTCCCTCCCTCCCTCTCTCTCTCCCACCAGCCCCATCTAATGCTGCCTTTCAAATAAATAAATATATCTTAAAAAAAAAAAAAAAAAAAAAAAGAATCCACGACTTCTGATTTTCCATTCCAGGAAACTTTTCTGAACCATGTTGCCTAAATGAGACTTAAAAATACCAAAAAGTTTTCCTAAAATACCAAATTTGAAAATGCCAAAGTGTTTTTTTTTAATATTTTGGAGGATAATCAAGAAAATTTTAATTTAATAAAGGATTGAATTTTCATGGCATTACTTGTCCCAAATATCTTATAACACTTAAATATATATGTTGGATTCAGGTCTTAGGGGAAGTGAAGAGTAAACAAATTTGGGGACCTCTTTAAGAAGAAGAATACAAAATTATCACACTAAAATAGGTAGGAGGGGCGGATATTGTGGCATGGAAATTTAAGCTGCTGTTTGATATGTCCACATCCCATACTGGAGAGACTGGTTCAAGCTCCTGCTCTTCTGCTCCCAATCCAGTTTCCTGCTAATGTACCTTGGAGGCAGCAGATGATGATCCAAGTACTCAGGTCCCTGCCACTCATGAGGGAGACCTGGATGGAGCTCTTGGCTCCTGGCTTTGGCCTGGTCCAGCCCTGACTGTTGTGGGTATTTAGGGAGTGAATCAGTAGATGGAAAATTTCTGTTTCTCGCTCTCTGTCACTCTGCCTTGCAAATACATAAATAAATAAGTCTTTACTGAAAATAGGTAGAGGGCATTACAGCAGGTTACAGATAAAGAGATTTCCCATCCACTGGTTCACTCCCCCAATGCCTGCAACAACCAGGACTGGGCCAGCCAATGTGAGGAGACAGGAACATAATCTGAGGTTCCCCATGGGTGATAGATACCCAAACACTTGGGCTATGATCTGCTACCTACCAGTGTGCACATTAGCAGGAGTACTGGAATTGGGAGCAGAGGCAGGTCTGAAATCCCAGCCCTCTGATATGGGATACAGAGGACCAAGCAGCATCTTAGGTGTTATGTCCAACACCTGCCCCTGACCACCCTCTTGAAGCCATCATTTTGCACTGTGAGTTAATGATATGTACCAAATATATGATATGAAATGTATTACATGATGGTAATTTACTCTTTTTTTTCT